AACATCTGAAGAGGTCGTTCGAATAAACACTCTTCGTCACGCATCAACTTCAAATCAATGTGACTCATTGCCTTTGATAAAAGATGTGATGAGTCTTCTCAAGTCGCGAGTTATGGTCAAGACTCAAGGCATGTTGCTATGGCACTGATTGTGATCTGAGTTAGGTCATTGAACCTATTAGAGAAAAAACCACATCAAGTCGCTAGTGTAGTTCTCAAGGATCCATACAGCTCGATCAGCTCGATCAAGTGTCATCTGGGACAAGTTGAGTCGCGGCATAATCATGAAGTTCTCAAGGTTCAATCCTTAAACCTTAAAAACTGGGGGGCTTCTGTTATGCCCAAAAATCAGGGCTGACGTGAGCTTAAATCAGCAAAGACCAATCAGAATTCCGAAAGGTTTTCTGCCATCTAGATGCAGCCACGTCCCGCAAGGATGAAAGGGGTAAGGCCATCGTTAGTGAGGCAGGTGAACGACATACTTATGAGTGGTTAGGAGTTGTCCACCTGCTGAAGCCCTACGCGATTTAAGGATATCTATCGTGCAGACAACCAATGAGAAGCGGGTTAGGAATTGTACCATACTTGCCCGCACGCAGAATCATGATTACCAGCTTGAATCCTCCAACTATAAATAGAGGGCTTTCCTCTATCTTATGGGATTGGCTCACCCATCGATCAAAACATATACTCTCTCTCTCTCTCTCTCTCTCTCTACATTTATTTACTCTATTGTAATCCAGCTCGCAGAGTGCGACCTGATTGTACTCACCCATCAATATAATCACAGTGGACATATGATTCGCCTTAGAGCATCCGAACCACTTAAAAAGTGTTACCTGTTCAATACCTCTTTTTTTATACTTCCATACCATGTGTGATTTCTAAGTCCGCTTAGCACTTCACACGCGTGAATAGTTGGTGTCAAAATCAAGCATCAACAATCTCAATCCACTGAAAAGAAAAAAAAAATTAAAAATGGAAAAAAAGAGATGGTGGTCGGTGATCCATCATTTCTATATGATTATTGTTGGTGATTCCCTAAACACGGAACGAATTTATTATTGCTTGTGACAGAAACTCATACACAATTCTTTTTTGTGCATAAAATTAATATTATAAAAAGCTTGTTCGACTGTAAGAATTAATAAGAGATTATATATATATATATATATAATCTCTTTATAGTCATAATAGTAGACCTAACTAATTTTACTACTATGAGGAGGCTATAACTTAATGGAAGTGTAGTTTATTTTATAATTCATGTTTTAGTATTATAGTATTAGGATTTCAATTCAGCGCTTCAATTGTCCACTTTTGAAACGGATAGAAAATCGTGTCTTGGAACCGGCAAAGTGTCATTGATGGAACTATAAATGCATTTAATGCATGGTCAATTGATGTGAAGCCACAAACAATTACCAATTGTTTTAAGCACTGCAAAATTAGGATCTCCAATGTCAATGAAATGCAAGTTACAAAAGAAGTAGATGAGGAGAATAAAAGAGTTATTACAGAATTGAGTGATCAAATTCGACAACTTCATTACACTAATTGAATGAATATTAATGTCTTCCTCGATCATTCAAATGAACAACAAATCATTTATGCATTAACCAAAGAAGAAATTATTACTGCAATTAGACAAGAAGAAAAAGAAAATAATCTTGAGAATGATAGTACAGAAATACAAAAAGTTTCGTGCCATGAAATTCTAAACATGCTTGAGAAGCTAAAAATATTTTTGCTTAAATAAGAAGGTGTCCATGCTTGCGAGTTATTATGTACTTGCAAGGTAAAAAATGTGGTAACAACTCTAAAGCATAAATCATTATAGCAAACAACATTAGATAAATATTTTATTTCATCTTAAACCTTTAATGTAACATAATATATTTTATTTTTTGTAATATACAGATAATTATTACTATATAGAAGCAACTTTTCTTAAGGCGAGAATTAGAAAAATTATAACTTATTACAATGTGAAGTTTATTCTTATTTATAACTATCCCAAATTGGGACTAGAATTTTTTATAACTATATATAAGGTCAACAAATAATAAAGGAAGGGTCATTTATTTTAATTAGAAACAATTAAAAAAACTGAGACATTCTAAAACTTAATAAAAATACCACTTAACAGCTCAATTTCATTAAAGCTTGTTGATGGTCATATTTGTGGAGAAAGCCTAATAGGGTGCAAAGGAGTTTAACAAGCTTATCGGCTCAATGAATCAAAAAATTGATCCAATTATTATTATTTTTTTCATTAGTCCGCACATTATCAAGTAAGAATAAATTTGTAAATTTGTCGAGAAAGCAATTTAGATTTACGAGAGTTCCACAAATATCAATTTCTAGAGGGGAAATTGCATATGGAGAAAAAGATAAAAGCTCTGTTTGGTATGACTTATATGAGCAAAGCTTATAGAAAAAGAGTTTTTTGTATTAGAGCTTATGCAAATATAGTTTTTATAAAAGAATTGTTAGTTGTTTAGTTAGGAAAATATAAAAGAGTTTTCTAGTGTTAATTTACTAAAAAAACAGTTTTAATATATAAAAATAAATCAAGTCAAATATATGATAATATTTTGGAAATTTCAACAACTTAATAAGCTGAAAAAGTGCTTATTATAAGTTGTAAAATAACTTATTTTATGTTTTTTAAGTACTTTTGAAATGTAACAAAACATTAATTGTTCACATTACTCCCATTTGACTAGTTTTGAATTTCTTGGTCAATCTTGAAGGAAATGATTCCAAGTAATTAGATTGCATCCAAATATGGGAAATGCTAGTGATGTGGCAGTTGTCACACCATTAGTTTCACATCAATCTTCTTATTCTTTTCACAAACTAGTAGTGTGGCTGCTGCCACATCACTTTATAGTTTGTGCAAAGACTCTTTGTAGGAGTCCTTGTGCAAATATTCTATGATTTAGAATGAAAATTAGGGACTCTGTAAAAATTACATATTTTATTGTACTTACCATCTTTAATTTGTCCAAGTTAATTATTTTATAAGATGATAATAAAATAAAAAGTGGGAGACCAAGACCAACAATATCATTCTAAATATAGAATATTTTATATTATTACAATATAAAATAATTTTGCACAAATTTTCAAATTTTTAGATTAAATATCTTTTTCATATTTTATTTGTTTTGCATTATATAATTAATGGTATGATGTGATTTACTAATTGCCTTTAGCCACGTGGTTAGTTGGTTTAATTTGAGTGTTACAGTTCGAATTGTTTTACTATCAAATAATAATACATTTAACTTGAATGTTACCTTTTTAACTTTCTAGCAAAATGTATAATATTTTAGGATGTAATGTCAAGATATATACTATATATATATATATATATATATATATATATATATATATATATATATATATATATGTGATAGGGATATGTTACTTTGAGTTATGTGATTTATTATATGATTAGTCTTTGAGTTTGTGGGTGTAGAGCATGAAAATATTTGAAATAATATGAGATTATCCTTTCACTAAAAGCATCTCTAATGATATTGTTTATTTTAAAGAGTATCTTTTATGTAAATAAAGAACATTTTTATTGATTTTTAAATATAAAGAACAAAATTTTTATTCAAATCTAATACGCTCTTTAAATTTTATGAGAGAGAAAGTGTTTTTTTTTTTAAAAAAAAAACTTAATAGAAGAGATAAATTATAAATAAAATACATAAAAACTTATAATTTATTATTTAAAATTAAGATAGAGAGAGAAATTTGAGTCAAACTGAGTTTGGATCATATAAAAAGTCATTTGGAGATGCTCTAATATATTAATTAATGAGTTGGTTTCTTACATTCACTCAACTATTTATATTTTGCTACATCACACACACACACACACACACACACACACACACACACACATATATATATATATGAGGATAAATAACTGTTACACTCAAAAGTTCAAAAAAGTGATATTGCAAATTCAAATATTATAATATAGTTACAATTTTACCAAAAATCTAACAGATATTAGCCCAGTTTGTTAAATTAAGGGGCAAAATTGGTTATTAACAGAAAATAAACCCTGCATCACAATTAAAACAAAAGAAACAAAGTGATAAAACTGAAATAATATTTGAAGCCAAAATATTAAAAACAAAGCGGCTGGATCCTGGGGTGGGAATGAAGAGATCTGGTGCTGGATGAGTGCGGGGGTGGTGGCCCATGGGTGGTTTTGGGGAGGAAAGGGTATCTGTTTAACATTTTTTTATTTATTATTTTCTTAATTTTAATTTTTAATTTTTTATTATTATCTTATAAAAATCATGTATTAAAATTTTTCATTTTTCATTATTCTTTCTTTTTCAATTTCCATTTTTATTATAAAAATGAAAAGTACCTTTTACAATAATTTTTATTTTATTATATTATGTTTTATTGTTTTATTGATTTCATTATTTTTAGATAAGATAAAATAGTTTTTATGTCTTTTAACCCTATTTTGTAGACTAGACAATGGATTTGAGTAACAAAAAATAGTTTTTGGGTGAAATTGTTACTATCTCTTTACATTTGAACCCATAGTGTTACTCTTTAGAACCACTGATCGACTTTAAATATTACTTATTTCAAACCTTGAAGGTGAAAATGTTTTAAAGCCCTCATTTTTATCATAAACTTATATCATTTTAGTTTGAACTTACTTTCTGTGATAATCCTAACTCTGTCTTGACTATGGGTGAAATTTCCCATTTGTAATACATGTTTCTGTTTATTATATTTGTAAACCCAATTAAACTTGTTGATGGATTAATGTTACCCCCTTTTTTTTTGAAAAAATTCTGAGCTGTCTAGCTTATCATCAGCTGATAAATTAAAAAAGTAACAATAAAATCAAACTAATTAATAAACAGTGATCAATAAAAATAAGGCTATAAAAAACAGGTACAGTATATTAGAACTTTCTTCTGTCTTCGTCATCATTCTAGCGAATAGAGAACAGAGCATCATTATCCACTATGACTTTCTTCAAGAATCAGGAATTCTCGCGATTTCACTAATCTTCTCCATTTAAGCCCTATAAAAGCCTCTCAAACCCAGCTACATTCATCGTAGCGATCTAAACAAACGAATTTTGAAAACCGCATATTCAAAACTCTTATTTCTAAATCTCCAAAAACATGGATACGAGGAGCCTAGGTTTCAACTCTCCCTTCTTCTCACTCCTTGAAGACCTGCTAGATTTGCCTGAAGATCAGCCTGAAAAGTCGAGAAACAACCCATCTCGAGCCTACGTTCGCGATGCAAAGGCCATGGCAGCAACACCAGCAGATGTGGTAGAGTATCCAAACTCCTATGTATTCGTTGTTGACATGCCGGGTATCAAGGCAAATGAAATCAAGGTGCAGGTGGAGGGCGAAAACGTGCTCGTGGTAAGTGGAGAAAGAAAGCGTGACAAAGAGAAAGATAACAAAGAAGGTGTAAAATATGTGAGGATGGAGAGGAGGGTTGGCAAATTTATGAGGAAGTTTGCGCTGCCTGAGAATGCTAATATGGATGCGATATCCGCGGTGGCTCAGGACGGCGTTTTGACTATTACTGTGGAGAAATTGCCACCTCCAGAACCAAAGAAACCGAAGACCATTGAGGTTCAAGTTGCGTGAGAAATCGGCTAGCTGGGGTTGTGTTTTGATACGAGTGTTTGAAAATTGATCATGTTGAAACATGTTGGCTTATGACATTGGGTGGCGTTGTGTTATGTGTAAGTCTGTTGTGTGTTCAGGTTGAGTTTTCTGTGAAACACTAGTGTTTTATGTTCATGAATAACTCCTTTTGTGCTTTTTCTTTAATTACCCCGTCCATACTTTCAATCAATGTTCTGAAAATCGGACCGGACAATGACCCGTTAAAGGGTCCGATTTTCAGTTTGACCGGTTTGACCGGTTGGATCGGTCGGTTGGACCGTAATTTATAAAATTACTTTTAGTCTCTAAAGGTTTAAAATTCATCAAAAACACCCCTATAATACTTCCTTAAGGTTTGAAATCTATCTAAAACACCCTTGTCATGCGAAGATTCTGGTGAGTGGTGACGGCAGCGACGATCGACGGCCAATCGAAGCTAGAATCTTGGGGCTTTTGATGTGTAGGTGCCGGCGACTTTGATGATGGTGCCAAGGAGTTCCATCGGCGCCGGAAATAGCCGGAATCGACAAAAGAACTCTGACGGTCGCGTGAAGTTTAGGTGGACAACGAGCGACGATGGCTGGACGACGGCCACTGAAAATGGCAGGGTTTTGTAGTGGAGATGCCGTCAAGTCTAATGGCGGTGATTTCTCCCTCGATCGGTGTCAGAATCCAGCGGGATTCAACCGCGATTGGACCTCGATTGGACTGCGATTCGGCACTATTCTGGCGGTCCAACCGCGGTTCAATCCGGTTTAAATGCAATTAACGGTTTTTTACATATTCCGGACCGGAAATACCGCCGGTCACCGGTCGAACCGGTCCGATCGGACGGTCCGGTCCGGTTTTCAGAACCTTGCTTTCAATATAGACCTCTTTTATTTTCAATTGTAAAATTTGGGAAATCTGATTTACGTCCAAATTAATAAACCTTATAGAAAATTTGAAGCTGACTCTCTAGCTTACATAGTATAAAAATAATTAAATAAGAGTAATGTTACATATATAAAGTTGACCTTAAATTTGTATCTTAAAGCAATGGATACTTTGAGTCGGGAAATTGGTTCATTTTTTCATCATGTTATAATTAAGGAAATATTGTTAAATTAATTATCATAAGTTAAGAACCAAAATTAAGATTTTAATTTTATATATGTAATATTATTGATTAAATAAACAATAAGAGAATTTCATTTCTCTGTACAAATAAGCTACCACAAATTATTGAAAGTATAAGGGTATATTAGTCAAGTCAGGTTGTAATTTAATTGTTGGTTAGTAGGCATGGCAATGGGGCGGGGTGGGTTGGGGATCTTACGCACTCTCAAAATCACTCCCTACTCCTACCCCATCCCCGTTATGGGGATAACAAAAATTCTCTTTCCCCGCCCCATGGGGAATGTTGGAGGCATGTCCTCGCCCTGTTAATTTTACATAAACTTAAATTAATTTGAGTATTACCAAACACAACAGTTAATTCTCCTCCACATCACAAACACTTAAATTAATCGTTTATACATAGTTAATTTCACATAAACATAAATTTGAGCATTTTCGTAGATTCTCCTTATGAAAACATAATATGGGTTTATATAAGTAGGATAATTGTGTAATTAAGTGAAATACAGGGGTATTAGTGAAAAGTGTATATATATATACATTTTTTTAATTTTATATATTATATATATATATATATATATATTATATTTATACCGCCGACCATCCCCGGGATGGGGATTAAAATGCCCTCACCCCCACCCCTATCCCTGAAAAAACTGGGGCGGGGGGGGGGGGGGCGCCCGTGGGGACGGGTCCTTGGAATTCCTGTGGGCATTGCCATGCCTACTGGTTAGTTAGTTAGTTTAGTTATTAGTTTGGTTAGTTAACTACAGCTCAGTTGATTAACTAGAGTTTCTGTGTTGTATATAATAGAACTATTGATTCAATAAAAGTTAGTTCAATTTTCCCCAAATTTTCTCTTCTCTATATGATTCTTGATGCGTTTATCTCATATGTATGTTTAGCAAGTTCACTAGTCGCAAAAAGTAATAAAGTGATAAGTAGAGTATCGTTCCCACGAGAATAGCGTTACTAAGTACCGATTTCTCTAGTTTTAAATCCTAATTGAAGCAACAATAAATTGGATTGATGGAATATTTAACCCTAGTTAGTAAATTAGCGAATTATTCGCGAATTATACGCCCAGCTATATAATTCGCGAATTGCCGTATTTTATCAGCCTAGCCGTATTATTCGTGAATTATTTTCGTATTTTTCCCGTATCTAAATTTTTGCCTAATTTTTACAAACGTATTTTTCACTATTTTCCGTATCATACCCGTAAAATTCCCGTACCCTTTTTTGTTGTACCCGTATATTTGAAATGCTATATAGATTTTAACCAAATGGCCCATGAAAAGTGCTAAAACTAGGATTGATATTACCGTATTTTTTGAAACGTATTATTGACAATGTGCCGTATTAAACCCGTATATACTCGTACCGTAATTTTTTCATATCAGAATTTTATGACCGAATTTTTACAAACGTATTTTTCACCATTTACCGTATCATATCCGTAAAATTCCTGTACCCTTTTTTTGCTGTATCCATATTTACTAACTAGGTATTTAACAACTAAATACAAATTAACAGTTAAAAAGTGATAAAAATGAAATTAAATACAAAACCCAAAATCCAAACAAATCAAATAGTAGTAAAAAACGCTAGGGTATTGATTTCACCTAGATACGCAAACCCAATTCATAGAATCTATTACCCAAGTTTTAATTCCTTGATTGAAACCAAGTTGTTTGGTACTCCTTCTCAGGTTATACCACCCCCCTATTCCTATTTACCTTTCGAACCCAAAAATTGAAGTTTAATAGTTCAAGGTCTTTTAAACTTTGTGGAATTCTATCTAGATTTCATAGATCGCTTTTATCTATCTCTAGTTTTTGCTCAATCTATGGTATTTATCCCAAGAGGCACATATCACAAATCAATTCTCAGTGTCATTGTGCACAACACACATTTGAATAGTGACCAAACATCCAAAAGTCATTAAGCAAAGAGATAAACACTCAATCATGAAATTAAAACTCAAAGTAAATCAATTAATATAAATTCGAATCATTGTATCAAGGTTACGTCAAACCCTAGCTAAAAAACTTAGTTCATACTCAAAAATAAAATAAAATAACAAAAACAAGTTGAATCAAGGTTCATCATTGAAAAACAAGCAAAAATGGAGAAATCTTCTCTAATTTGAAGCCCAAATCTTCAATAATCTTCTCCTTCCAAGAGCTGCCTCCCAAATGACAAACCAAGACACTTTTCCCTTCCTTTTCATGGTAATTTATACCTCTCTCACTTAAGGATGAAGCTCTAGCAAGCCAAAACATGTCATTTTATTTTTTCATATCTAACGCAGTTTCGCCATAGTGAAACTTTTTCTTTGTCGTGACAAACATATTTTTGGCCAAAATTGAGCATGATAACATCTGAATCTGGAAAAGTTGTAAACAAATGAATTATAGCCCTTTCAATTATATTTGTATGCATTTAAGAATCATCCCAATCCGAGGTCCATAGCTTAAGTTATGGCCAAAATAATAAAGCACGTCCAAAGATGTTTTACTTCAGTTTGCAATGTGCTAATCACAACTTCAAGCCAAGTTTTAACCCTCTTCCAGTCGAAATTAGGAAAAACCTGTAGATGTTAAAATCTACAGTTGCAGAAGTAGGGTTTAATCCCGTGAGGTTGGGGCCACTGATAACCTGTTGTACTTGCACACAAAGTAAACAAGTGCGAAACTTAAGTAAACACCGGCATGGTGTCTACCATAGGCACTTCGACACTTAAGTCAGTAAGGCCAAATAAGTCAATTTAGTGAGGGCTAAGGGAAGGAAGGTTTATCGAAAGTTTAGTCAGAGACTAGAACCACGACATGGGTGTATAACTCTTAAGATCAAGAGTTTGGGTGCAAGTGGATGGTATTGAGATTGAATGCCTAAACAAAGGGGTGACCCCTATTTATATAGTAGTTGTAGGATCTTCGTATCGTAGTAGGACTTTGAATCCATAATGGTAGAGGTTTATTGAATAGGAAAGATCCTGGTTCACTTGCCTCATTAGTACTAAGTGTCCTAATTCACCTAAGATACAGAATCTTGGGCGAATTAGGATAGAACCCAAATAGAAAGAGTCCCAATTACCTTGGTCTGTAGGGCTTGGCCTTACGTGGGCTATTGGTGACGCTTATTCTATAGATATGCTAGATTTGGGCTGCACGTTTTGGCCGATACCATGAATTCTGATGTTGGCTCAACTAGAATTGGGTCGCTGCCTTGGGCTTATGTAGTAGAAAATTGTTGCTTGGGCCTGATAAGGCCCAAAACGATTTTTGGCCCATACAGTTAGCCCTCTACTCTCTAAGCTAAGAAATATTTAGCTTGGAGAGTAACTGGTTTCAAAGGAGGTTAACTAGGCTAGGTGACGGCATACCAGGTCGAGCAAGCGTTCCCTCGGCCGAATGAAGATATCCGTCTTGATGAATGATGTGAAGTGCTTATGTAGACGTCTTCACTTGGCCAAATGATTCGAGTGATAGGATGCGAAGCGCACCCTTGTGTAGCTGAGCCTGCTTGACTAACTGAGCCGAGTGGTAGAAGGCATGGTACAATATTTTTGCAATTGTGCCTGCTCGGCTGATTGAACCAAGTGGTTGGATGCCAGGTGTATCCTTTGTAGGTGTTCTCGTTCGATTGTTCGGTTGAGCGAGAGGATGTAAGGTACATCCTTTGTAGATGACCTCACTCGGTCGACTAAACCGAGTGCTAATGTTGTTTGGCCATAGACCTTTGAGAGAAAGATTTCATCACTTTGAGGACTAGAGATCGAGTCGGCTTGTCTGGGAGAGCCGAGTTCTGTTTGATTGTGACTTGGTGGAGCCGGGAGAACGGGACGCATGTAATGTAGGGTTTCGTAGACTTTAAGCAGGAAATGAAAGGTCGCAAATCCTGAGGTGAGCCTATTGCATAACACATGTAAGATGGGGATTTCTTCCTCGTTTTAAGTGGGAAGTCGAATGGTCTCACCCAATCGCCAACTGCCATGTGTTGCTTATGACAGGCTAAAGCTGTACAAAAAGAAAAAAGTTCATTTGATGACTATTCACCTTCCTGTCTTCGTTTCCAGAGAGAAAAATTATGTCTGTAGAGGAGTTGCTCTATCGCGATTTCCATTTTTTTTACATGGTAAATTTCTAGTTTCTCTTCAAATTTTTGTAGTTCT